TAACCCCACTGGATAACAGCACACCATCAGTGAGAGGAATGGAGAGAGACAGGTTAGTGGCTAGGATGGTTAGTGGCTGGGATTTCAAGAAAACTTTGAAACAGTCATTAATTTCATTTTAAATTCGAAGATGGCACTGCACAGGCAGTAGCCTATTACTTTGGCTCCGCTCTCTCCTTTCCTACTTTCTCTATCTTATATTGTTTTTTGGAATGTTTTTCTATTAGTGAATACTGTATCTACTATTCTGAAAGCATGGGCACAGAGGAATCCACCTTCTGGAACTATAACACTGATGCCCAGTACAAGAAGGGCTTCCTCCACCTCCTGAGGAGGCTAAGATCATTTGGAGTGAGCAGACCCCTGCTTAAAACCTTCTATGACTCTGTGGTGGTATCAGCCCTCCTCAACGCTGTCGTCTGCTGGGTGCATGTCAGCACAAAGCGGGACAGAAAGAGACTGAACAAACAGGTGAGAAAGGCTGTTTCTGTCTTAGGCTACACTCTGGATTCAGTGGAGGAAGTGGCTGAGAACCTCTGCAGGAGGAAAACACAGGTTAGTGACCACGTTACTCTGGTGAAGGATGATTACGCACGTCACTTACCTGGTCTTGAAGTTCAGCCCGTGCCCAGAAGAAGAGGTGGATTCCAGCCGGATGGCTTCCGACTTGACATGGTGAACGCTGCCCAGAGAATTCCAGATGCTGAAGCCTTGAAGACTGCAGAACTGTCAGATCCAAGCAGACGAAGGAAAGTAGGATAATCCAGAGGGTGAAGCCAATGCCGATGTCAATGAGGTTCAGGAGTCTTTGTCATGATCTTGGCGCTGATGGTTTGGTTTTTTCCTTTGCTCCTTGCTCCCCTGTCTAATTGTTCCAGCGGCTGATTAACGGCGATCATTTCCACCTGGTTCCTTTGCTATTTATTTTGTTTGCTTGCCTTCCATCAGTGCCAGGTTATTCGAGTGTTTTGGTGAGACTAATTCTGGCATTCTTTAGTCTGTTCTGTTTTCCTAAATATTATGACCAGTTTCTGCCCTGTGGATCCCAAGTTTTGCTTTGCCCCTGTCTGCTGTGTTTGTCTGATCTGTTTTGGATTTATTCCTGGATTCTTCTGGCTTCTGAACCTGGATCCGTCTTCTGACTCCGGCTTTGGATTTCCCCTTATGGATACTGTTGCTGCTTTACGTTGGCTGGCGCCTGCTCCGCTCGATCTCTATGAACTTTGGGGCTGGCGCCCGGGAAGGCTGTGGAGAAACCTCCTGTTAGGATTCAGCTCCTTTCTCCATAAAAGCCTTGTTTTTAAATGCAATAATCCTTTCTCTGCTACAGTAGCTGTCATATAACGCCCCCCTAAACCACAACCAACTTTAATTTCTGACATTCATCAGTACCTAATATCTCTCTGCACTGCACACTCAAATATTCTTGTTATTGGTGATCTCAATATACACATGGACT